TCCTGGAATTTGTTGGGAGTTTTTAAATTATCAATTCAATTTTGTTACTAATGATCAGTCTATTCAGATGTTCAATTTCTTCCTGACTCAGTCTTAGAAGATTGTTTGTTTCTAGGACTTTATCCATTTATTCTAGGTTGTCCAATTTATTGGCATAATTTTTCATAGTGATCTCATACTTTTAAAAAAATTTACAGTGTCAGTTAACTCCTCCTCTCTCATTTATGATTTTATTTGATTCATTTCTCTCTTCATCTTGATGAGTCTCTCTAAAATTTTATAAATTTTGTTTATCTTTTCAAAGAACCAGGTGTTAGTTTCATTGATCTTTTGTTTTAGTCTCTACTTTATTTTCACTATGTTCTTTATTATTTCCTTTCTTTTACTAACTTTGGGCTTTGCTTTTCTTTTCCTGGTTCCTTTTGCTGTAAAGTTACAATGTTTAAGATTGTTCTTATTTCTTGTGGTAGGACTATACTTCTATAAATTTCCCTCTTAGAATTGCTTTTCCTGCATCTTAAAGATTTTGAACCATTGTGTTTCCATTTTCATTTGTCTCAGGTATTTTTTATTTTCTCTTTAATTTCTTTCTTGACCCATTTGTTGTTTAGTAGCATGTTGCTTAACTTCCACATGTTTGTGTTTTTTCTGTTTTTTTCTTGTAATTGATTTCTAGTTTCATACTCTTGTGGTTAAAAAAGATACATAATATGATTTCAATATTCTTAAATTTATTAATAATTACTTTGTGATCTATCTTGGAGAATGTTCCATGTGCACTTGAAACAAATGTGTATTTTGCTGTGCCTGTTCTTTAATATATGTTTATTTAGAAGAATATACATTTTTATTAATGAATTTCCCCAAACATGCAATTTATCACAAGTTAATGTTAGTTTCCTATTGCTGCTATAACAAATTACTACAAACTTAGTGGCTTAAAATAATACAAATTTATTATCTTACAGTTTGGAAGTCAGAAGTTCAAAATCAGTCTTACTTGGGTAAAACCCGAGTGTCAGCTGGACTGGTTTCTTCTGAAGGCTCTGCAGGGAACCCATTTCCTTTGCCTTCTCCATCTTTTGGAGGCTGCCTGCATTTCTTCATTTGTGTCCCCTTCTTCATATTCAAAGCACATTACTCCAATCTCTGTTTCTTCACTATGTCTCCTCTCTGACTTTTCTGCCTCCATCTTATAAATACCCTTGTGATTATATTGGGTCCACCTGGATAATCCAGCTTACTCTTCCCATGCCAAGATCCTTAACTCAGTCCCATCTTCCTTGTAATGTAAGGTAACATATACACTGGTTCTGGGGGTTAAAATGTGGACATCTTTAGGGAGACCATTACACAGGTTAGTATTAGATAATTAAGTTAAACCTGGGAAAAGATAAGAAAATGAGGAAAGCCTCTCAATAACAACAAAATAAGTTTTATTGCTAGGAAATTCCTTCAAACCTTCGAGTATTTCATCCAGTTTTGAGCTAGCAAATGAGAAGTATAACATCCTATGAGAATAACATATAATTCATTGTCTAAAGATCTGGACATGTTCTTCAAAAGGAAAATTGTCCATTAATATAGAACCATGAAGAAGCAAAATACTATTTCGCTTTTACAACAGGTTACTGCTTTAGGGGGAAAAAAAAAGTTTAATTTTTTAAAAGGATCCAGAATCTAAAAGTAGAAATGAAGTCAACAGCATTAGCAAAAGCATTCAGTCTGCAAAGGGTACAGGGAATCAGCCATAGCAACTGCAACAGGGCAACAGCGAATAGCCTTAGCTGTCCATTTATTGGAACACAGAGTCAGCATGAGGCTCTTATAATCTTCACCAAGTGGAGTAATGATATTGAGGCATTCAATATGCTGCTAGAAAAAGAATACAAGGGAAGAAGTCAATGGATCCAAGAGTTTGATATATTGAGAAACAAGAAACCAACTGTGGCTAGCATTTTTTGTCATTCTGTAACAGGTAAAATCAGAAATCTGTGATTACATGCTGCTGGTAGCATTCTGCCTGAAAAAGCATCTCAGTGTGAGAATTACTGAGTGCCTCTTCCCTGAGAACAAATGTGAAACAAGAGATAACCCAACATTTCAGACAGTATAATTTCCTTAAGGGAGAAAACACAGGAAAATAAAGTCAACTGTGACTAAAGAACGTGCTTGACACTGAGAAAGAAGACCAAATGAGTGAAAACATTTCTAAAATATCTTTTCATAAATGCACAGGCAGTTAGAATACATGTAAGACTTGGGCCATAGCATCTCTGTGTATCTGTGATCTCTACACATTTTCCTGTCTTTGTGAAAACAATGTCTACATACCCTCAACCAAACAGCGGCAACCTTATAATGAATTATGAGTGCAGTTCATGCCTATTCTTAAAGATACAGATGTTTACTTCCATGAGATTATTTCCTGTGGGAAAGTAGGTAGGAACACAAAAGCAACTTTTTCGATATGGATATGGGTATAACCTTGCCCATGATATCCATGTAATCCTTAGCAATGACTTTATATAACCTTAAAAGGAAGGGGAGGATTATAAGAGGGCAGGCTATGGAATCAGATCTAGGATTAAATTCTACCTCTGTTATTCAAACCTTTTAAAACTCAGAATCCTCATTTGTAAAATATGGTTAAAGCCACATTATTTTGAGAATCAAAGGAAATGAACATCGTGAAATACTTACATAGTGTTTGGCACACAGAATACAAAACACAATAGGGTAGCTGCTAACAGCAATGGTAATGAAACACAAGAATAAACAGGTAAAGGGACTCAACATTACTTCATAACTTTGAACAAGATACCTAAAACAAAAACAAAGCTGGAATAATTTTTGAACTTTAGTGGAGGATTTTTCAGTATTTTCTAGCACAAAGCCTTATAAAATAGTTTTTAAAAATCAGCCCCAAGGGGCGCCTGGGTGGCTCAGTCGTTAAGCGTCTGCCTTCGGCTCAGGTCATGATCCCGGGGTCCTGGGATCGAGCCCCGCATCAGGCTCCCTGCTCAGCGTGAAGTCTGCTTCTCCCTCTCCCACTCACCCTGCTTGTGTTCCCTCCTCTCTCGCTGTCTCTCTCTCTGTGTCAAATAAATATATAAAATCTTAAAAAAAAAAATCAGCCCCAAATTTTAAACACATTTTTGCTTTCATTTTTCCGTTTACCAGAATTATATTGATGTAAATTGTCCAAGTGATGATCTGAAAATATACTTAATTTTCCTGTGTATTTTACATCTTATTCTATGTGTATTAGAGAAGACAGTGTCATAAAATTGTATAGCTAGCAGAGAGTTGAATATAATTCAGCAATATTCAGAATTGCCCTGGTTGCCCAGATAGCAAGGTGGAGAGGCAAGATGGCAACCATAGCCTTCTGATTTCCAGTCCAGGGCTCTTCCTACAGGAAAGTGACTCCATACATGTGACAGATACAATTTGCTCTCTGGAGACTATCCTTATTAATAAATCTTTGTGCGCATAGAGGGAATGAGCATTGTGTATTTCCATGGAACAAACTGAGATGCCTTTGAAGATTTGGACACTTAATTGGGAAGCATAAGGTGGAATGTTTATGTCTCTTCCTTCCTCCTCAAAATCATGGTTGAAGTATTTGTGAAGAATATATAGTCTAAGACTATATATATATAGACACACAGACATATACATATATATATGACACACACACATATACATATATGAATATATATGCAAATGTATCAGTTAGGACATTGTCTCCCCAGTGGGTTGTTTTAAAAAGACTCACATATTCCTAAGAATTGAATTTCTAAAAACATTTTCCAAGGGTTTATATGTTCCCTGCAAACCAAACCCTCTGTCTTTACCTTATTGTACTGAGATCTCTTAGTAAACAGGTATTTATAGATGACAACAAAGTTCTCAATATATTATTTCATGAATTAGATAAAATCTCTTGCTATATTAATTCAAATACAGAAAATCAACTTCAAGTTAATAATGACATTAAAGGAAATATTGGAAAGCACAAAAATATATCTGTGATAGTTTCAAAATTGTCGTCATTTCACATATTTCTCCAGGGTTTCTTCATTATGGTATAAACTATAAAAACAAATTGAGTTATTTGAGAAAAGCTAACATTTTGGATACTTTGGATACTAAAAAAGACCTTGCATGAGATAAATAGTTGCTACACAGCTCTCCCTTTTAGATTTATTTTCTAAAAAGAGGGAGAGGGACATTTAAGCCATGAATTATTACCAAATCTTCAATTTGATCTTCAAAAGTATTTTCAATTTCAAAATGTATATTACTGATTTAGAGATCTTGAGAGAACGGACATTTATATTAAGGCTCTGGGAAAAGTCTTAGTATTTCTGTCTTCAAAGCAAGCAAAGTAAACTCTTATTTGGAGAACCTATTTCAATCCATATCTAATTTTTTCCTGGAACCAGTACTGTCTTGGAGCAGGAGAGGGAAATAAATTTTATACGGGATTTTAAATCACTTTATAGGCTACAAAGTCTGGGCAAAATGAAATATTAAAAACATTCAACTGTATGTCTACATCTGCATCTTTATATCTTTAAATAACCAGATCTATGTATCTATTTCTCCCCTTTCCCAGCAAGTGTCTCCTTCTGGTATCCCTATTTCTTCCAGGAAGTGGGGGCATGGTGGAAGATCTAGCATGGGTCAAGAGTTGGAGTAACAGGCAACGTTGCTCTTAGGTATTCCGGGTGAAAAGGTGGAGGGAACAGGACCAGAAAGTGTTAGGAGAAACCTGAGCAGCCTAGAAAGCAGGCGAGCGCAAGCCCCAGGGCAGTTTCACTTCCTCAGGCTCCCAGCGAGGCCGGGCGGTGGCCCTGTGGCCTGAGCCCCGGGGCTGCGTTTCCGGACCCGCTGGCCACAACCGCCGGAGGTGCTCTGAAGAGGGGCGGTGGCCGAGCGGCGAGCTCGCGGAGCAGCTCCGGCAGCGGAGTCCGAGGCTCGGCGGGCATCTGTCCGCAGGCTGCCTGGCTTCGGCCGCTGCGATGTTGCCGGCGGCGTCGGTGCGCACGGGCGGGAGCTGGGAGCGGGCCTCCGGCGGCCCAGCGCCCCCAGGTGGGTGTTCGCGCGTGCGGGCAGCCGGAGGGGGAGGCCGGCCGGGCTCCGGGGCTCGGCGGCTCGGCGGAGACCGAGCGCCCTTCCCCTCGGCGGTAACTGCGCTGCGGCCGCTGACGCCAGCGCGCCTCGGGGACCGGGGCACCAGGGCTGCCCCTTCTTCCCGCCGCGGTCTGCCGCTCCGTGGCGGGCGTCTTTGAGGGGCAGTCTGGCCGGGACGAGGTGGGAGCGTTCTGTGCTCGGACCCGCGTGGACCGCCGACTTCGGAGTGCTTGGAACTTTCCAGAGCACCTGGGGTAGGGGCCTCCAGTTTCTCCAATCACCTCGGGACGGGTTTTAAAGTTAAGCGCGTTTTTTAAGGTCATGCGTAATTCTAAAAATTCTGTTCACGTGTTATTGGCAAACCGCTTGTCCGGTTTATCTGCCCGGCAGGTAATCCAACCGGGTAAATTGCTGGGATGGACTGTGATCCGCTGATCTGACGGGTTACTCTGTGTAGAGCCTCCTCACTCCGCAGATTTTGCTAACTTGTTAAAAGCAGAAACCGTCAATGTTGTTGAATACGTAAATGGATTTATAGATCAAATGGACATTAAGGCAGTTGCACTCGTTCTTTTTGAGTGCTGCAAATGCGTTTGTGAACTTTATAATGATTATAAAGTGTTCAGTTTTGAAATTTTGAAAAAGCCTTCGCTTGGGTATTAAGATTGCTGGAGTTGTTCACGGTGAGAAATGCAACAAGAAAATCTGAGTGAAAATACTAATTTGCTGAATAGAATTTCTCATAGCTTACCAGCATTTTTTGAGGTAATGTTGCTTCTCTTGGCTAGTGTTTATTTTTAATACATAGATTTTAAAAGACTGCCTTTTTTAAAATGGGAAGTATGTTAGTGACGATTTAAAAGACAAGAAAGGAATTAGAGCCCTTGATATCTTAGTATGTTAACATTTGTGATTTCAGCCTAACAGTTTATTTCAACAGAATGGGCTACAGTTTGTTCAAACTTCTTGATTGAACAGTTTAGCCAGAAAGTGACTTTTATTCCACTTGATAGTCAAGAATACTTTGAGGTACTTGCTATTGTGAATAATGCTAGAGTGAGGTGATCCAACTCATTAGATAGGTGATCCAACTCATTAGTTAGCTCATTCTGATTATTCCTCTTCCTTCTGTGTGTTTTTCCCCCATTTACTTTTGTCCTTCCCAATATGGTATTTATCACTTGTTTCATTTACCTCCTTTGGCCAAGGTAATGAATTTTTTTTTCTTTTTTTCTTTTTTTAAAGATTTTATTTATTTGAGAGAGAGAGAGCACAGAGGGAGAGTGAGAGGGAGAAGCAGATGCTGAGCAGGGAGCCCGATGGAGGGCTCCATCTCAGGATCCTGGGATGGTGACCGGAGTCAAAGGCAGATGCTTAACCAACCACCCAGGCACCCCTGAAATATTTTTCTTATAAGGAACTATCTTTTGATACTAACCCATGCCTAGTCCTGGGTATGAGTAGTCTTCTATGAGAACTAGTTCTGATTAATTCTTTTAACATATGGAGAACTTTTTTGTGTGACCTCTCTGTCTGCTTTGGACAAGCGTTTCCACAGCATGGTAGATTTTAGCTTAACATGACACATTGTGGTAAAGTTAATCCGACTTCATTTTAGAGAAGTGAAAGCTGAGACCCAAGTAGTGATTTTCCCATGGTCCCATAACTAATCATTATTTGAAGATCATCTATTCATCACTTCACCAACAATCTTTTATTCCCCTACAAAAGTTGTGTAGTAATATGAGTATAAAACGGTAAACAGTTTCATGCCTATGAAGATTTTATATATCTAGCAGTAGGTGTATGGTATATTATAATGATACCTGTGTATGGTGCCACCAGAAAGATCAATGAGTATCCAACTTGTCTTTTAATGGAAGCAGGAAAGATATGATAGCCTGTACTAAAACAATGTAAAAATGTTGCACAATAGATGAAAATTCCATTTAGAATGTATTTTTCTGGTTTATATTTAACTAGATACTGTCCTCCGATGTCCAAATGAGAAATTTTTCCTTTGCTTTATCCCAAAACTAGTGATTTTAAAAACAAATTTAATTTTAACTGCTACCTTCAATAAGGATTGTTTATTTATTAAAGCGCAGATTATTCCCCACTCCATAGTTTTTGTATTTTTTATAAACATTATTTGATGCCTTCGATGAAGAGAGTTAAATAAATTATTAGTTTAAAAAGAGAAGGCACCTACCCTGTTTCACCACATGCTAGATGCTTATATATAACTCGTGAGGGACATCATAGTTCTCTTTGTCTTGAAGTTCTTGAAGATTTGAAGCTTTTTATTCTGAGAGCACTCTTCCAACATAGCAAATAACCTTGATTTCTCATTCCAAGGAAATACCCTGGTTCTATTCTGATGACTGGTAAAACTTGCCTCCTTTAGACCAGCTGGAGATGTTCCGATAAGGTTACTTAAGCTGAGATTTTAAAGAGAGGTAGGTCTCTTAGGGCACTTTCATTTTAACGTGGAATAATTCTACAATATCTAATTGCTTAAGAGTTTTAGACTTAAACGGCAGTGTATGTGGTGCATACTTGGAATATCAGAGGGAATTTTTTCACAACACCAGTCTGAAAGATTGTAGGTGATCATGCCCTACTTATGATGGCCTCTGGACTCAGACTGCCTCACATCAGTCTAGCTTTATTACTTACTTGCTGTTTGATCTTGGATAAATAACTAAATCTGGCATTATCTCAGTTTATCCATTTAAAAAGCGAAAGTGGAGAGAACAACAACACTTATTTGAGAGAGTGGTTTTGAGGATTAAAAGAGAAAATGCATGTGAAGTGATTTTCAGGGTGCCATAGCAAATAGTAATTGCTTAATACATGTTAGCCATTATTTTAATTCTTAGGTCGTTGGTCAATGGTGCCATACTTACATATAAAAGATAGTTTTTATTGAGAAAACAAACTCTGTTGAATTGGGGGAAAACTTGAATGAAGCCATCAAGCTCCCACATGAAACAAATGAGGGAATATGGCTTCCTGTAGAAAGATACTGCTATATCCTTGGAGAAATATTATGGTTAATAGTTCTGAGAGGAGCAAAAAAAGAACCCACAATGAGAACTAAGGATAAATTGATTAAAAGGGCATTAGACTAGGGCATTTACAGGAAAGAATAAAATTGGAATTTAATAGGACAAAAATGAGAACATGTTTTATTTTCCCGTATCACAGAGTACCAGTTGTGACCCAGTTAAAAAATACGTATGTAAATATATGTGGAAAAGTAAGGATCACGCTGAAAATTACGGGATACTTCATTGAATTATAAGAAGATAGAGAAGCTACTTTACCAAAATATTTACTGCTTGGTTAAAAAAAAAAATCCAATATAAAGAATATTATTCCTGCCAAATATAAGTTGCAGGTTTTAAGAATTTAAATAACTGTCACCTGATTGCCTGAGTTACATTGCTATTTTATTATTTTATATATTATAGAATATCTTACAGTAATTTCAGATACAGCTATGAAATAAGAATAGGAAGGGCAAACATTGCAGAAGTTATTATTTAAAAATAAGTTGTTATATGGCCTTGTAATTCTTTGCTGTTCTAAATATAAAGAATAGTATCTAAGTTTCACTGCAGACATTGAAATAGTCCAGGTGGTAAAAATATCAGATATTATATGGAATTATACCCCTCTTGTATTTATTTTTCACTCAGAGAAAAAGAATGATTTTTTTAGACATTTACCACTGAACAGAAATTTCTTTGTTGTTTTCAAGTGCTCCACATTGAAATAATCCAAAAAGATCACTTCCCTTTGTAATCATGAGAAGTAATTTTTCAATCCCTTGTGGTCTTTTATAAGATTTCTTGTGTATCCAGTTAATTAAAATAAGTTATGTTTTATCACACTGTGTGTCGTATTTTCCTTTCTTTTAAGCTCTTATACTGCTTTTCTGTATTCGTAATTCCCATGCTTTCATTTTTAATGTGTTCCACTTTATAAAGAGATTCTAAAAAGTATAAAAACAGTTTCTGACTTGGAATTTCATTTAATGTATGCCTCATTTTTTGGTTATGATCCATGCTGAAGACTAAGTCTCACCCTTTGGTAAGGATCAATATTCCATTCATTTTTTGTTCTAACTTAGCCATAAGAAGGATCATGCCTAACTTTCAAAAAAATAACATAGTGCCAAGACCACTTAAAATCCTGGCCTTCTTTTAAGACTGCATTTATTGTGTTAACTACTTTCAATTCATATGATATGGATATCACGTTACCTTGATAAAGTGAGAGCATCAGAAGATTAGCACCTACTTTGAATAAGAAGTTATATTGTTCAGTACAATTATATGAAAGTATGTAGTAATTCATTGTGTTATTTCTTTTCCTACAAGAGCTTTTCTAAACTATTAAAGCTGTAACTTCTAAGTCATCATATCTTTTTAGGGAAGGGATAGAGAGTGGGGAAGAAACATACCATATCAAAGTGGTATGATTCTATAAAATCATGTCACTAGAATGACAAACTGTACAGTATTTCTTGAGACTGTGTGAAGAATCCCTAAGATTTACACATTTTCCTCATTGGTTGATCACATTTTATTTCGATTTAATAGGCTGATATAAAATCTCAGGAGACAACTGCATTTTAGTATGATTAGTGAACTACTGGGTCACTAATAAGAAAGTCAGTGAGATAAAATTGAAGCAAAATTCCACCTTCATTTCAGTTAATGAGATAATTTCCTTAATTCTCTCATCACTTTCAATAAAACTTTAGAACTTTCACTACTCCAGGCACCTCTCTATAGACCAGAGACCCATTCTTTATCATGTCCTGTCCATCTGTACCCAAACCATGTATCATTCAGATTCTTGGAAACAGTCACTTGGGTCAAGAACGGGCACTAGATTCAGAGACAGCTTGCTGCTTTTGCCTACTGGCCAACAATGAGTGTTGTCTG